TCTTGTTCAAATCTTTCATATACAGTTGATATACAGTTTTTCAAACATCTCAGTGAATGTACTTATGAAGAGTCAACTTCATTTATTATGCTGCACGTGATGCAGGAGTTGTGGTTGAATCACACGGTGAGTGTCCAACTAAAAATATGGTGCTGCAGCAAGGCACCTTGCTCTTAATGCCCCTCAAAATGCTCCTTCCATTTATCTCATTCTTGCCACTTCAGGAAGTGGTCCTGGAGAGTCCTTATTAGGTATGATTGAAAAAATATGGTAAATGCTGCCAGGAGCCATCCAATGGAAACTATGGGTTCACAAAAAATATTACTGGTGCCCTCAGCTACCTTAGCCATGACAGCTGGCACCAGGTGGCATCTGCCTCTTCCCTACAGTCACAATGACCTTTATATCAATATAGAAGATTGAGGCAGTTTTCATAACAAAAGCAAAGACAGGAAGAGGACTTGTAGGACTGTTTCAGTGAGGGGCCAGAACACGAGATCAGCATATTTGATGAGAGGAGAAATATCTGGGGGCGGGGGAGGATAGCAATGTATCTTTCCCTGTAATATATTTTTAAATTTAAACTTTCACTGATCAAATCTACAGGTCTTCATGTTGAGGCCTCTCCCACATTTAAGACTTTTTTAAGAGGAAAACAATGCTGGTGCTTGACCACATAGCTTATCTCTCACTTAAATCAGTAGCACAAGAAGTATCTCAGTTAAAAACTCAATTTCCAAGAAAATGTCATTTGATTTTTGCTCTAAATCATTCTTTTTATTTTATGCAAAAAATCTACCCCATATTCACTTCCCTAGTAATATATTTGGAAAGCACTCTTCCTACAGAATGAGAGAGGTAGGGAGGCTACTATACATCCATGATATACTTTTCTTTCTCTGGGTTTAAAAGAAACCCTCACAGAGGTCCACCTAAATATTTCAGTCACAGCTCTGACAAGATAAACAGATGAGTGGATCCAATGGCAAAGCAGATCTCACCTTGGCAGAAGTTTCATACCATCCAGAAAAGCCATGGTCTTTGCAGAACTGGTCCATCTGAGAAGCACTGTAGCCGCTGTCCTTGATCTGGTCACATTTGTTAGCTAGGAGGACAGCAGGAATAGGGCTGCCATTGGGAAGATGAACTTTACTATCCAGGTCATCTTTCCATTTGGATACCGCCTTAAATGTGGAACCTCTGGATATATCAAAGACCACAAAAGCACCAACGGCTTCCTTGTAGTATACTCGAGTCATGTTGCCAAACCGCTCCTGACCTAGAAGTAAATATAAAAAGAGATTAAATATTTGCAAGTCTCATGGTGTCATCCCTAGGTTCTGTCCCAATGGCTTCAAGAATAATGCTCTAAGCAAACATGTCCCATTTCATGGCAACATAAATGGGTAGGGAATAAGGTTATCACCCAGAATCATGATTTATAAAGCAGAAGTGGCTGATAAATTCCTTGAGCTCACTATGAAGGACTTCTATGTTCTGTGCACGCACACCTTCACCATAAACTTCAACATGACGATACTAAGGTCTATAAAATTGTTGGTTCTTCTTCCTCTGCCTTTGGTCTAAGAGAAGAGAGGCATCTGAGAAAAAAAAAAGGCAAGCTGGGAGTGGAGGAGAAGAGGAAGAAATGAAGCTGGTAGGAAGGATATAAGTGCAGTGGTTACAACTTTAGCCTAAGAGGCTGGCACTGCACAAGAGACAGAGTAGGTCAAGCTCTCAATCATCTTTCTTTCATATCTCTGGGCTGTACCCACTTTGGCCAAATTGCAAGAGTGGCCTCCTACAAGAAGAAGGCCCATGAAAACCAGGATTTCAGAAAGAAAACCAGGATTTCAGAAATAAAACCAGCTGCTTGATTATAAAGAAGATCAACTGAAGAGTTCCCCAAATATTGTTCTTTTTAAATAATTTAACATTTTGGGTAGAATCTGGTCCCTCATTTAATACTATCAATATATAAAAAGAGGATTATAAACCATCCTCTTACTATCTGCTACTACACTAATCTATCCCCTAGAAAGGACAGATGAAAAGCCAGCCAAAAGAGGCTTGGTGCGGAGTACAGTGACCCTGACTAAAGAAGACAGTGCTGATCTGGGTTTTCTGACCCAAGTAGAGAGCCTGTGCCTTCAGATTCTGAGCTACCTGCAGGAGCCTTGACTTCTAGAGCTCGTATCGCCAAGGTGTCAGTTTCATGGCTAGACTGAGAGGGGAAAATGAAAGGTAACCAGTACTAAACTTCCTGCTCCAAATTTTACAGTGTCATCATACACACTTACAAACTGCTAAATGGAATATCAGAAGAAAGATATAACAAACTTATACAAATAAATTGTATTTGTTTTCTAAAAACTCATGTGTTTGTTAGTATTTATCTTGTTTTTTATTATTATGTATTTGGTATAGGGTCTATAGATTGGATTTGTAGGGATTCTATTTTCAGCCTCCCAAGCGTTGGGATTACAGGCACATGCCACCATGCCCAGTCTCAACTGCCATCTCAGTGGGCCCCGGGGGTGGACTGGCACAGCACACCAGAATTGAAACCTAGCCACTGTGCTCTGCCTAAGCAGGCACTTTGGTTTTCTGAGCTATCTGGCTGGCTGTCTTCATGTGTTTGTATCAGAGGTGATGTTAACATAGTCTTAAGATCCAAATTTTATTATAACTCATGAGCACATGTGAAACTCTACCATTTTGCTTAACTGGTTATTTTATTTGGTGATGATGTAGATAATTATAAAAAATTAGTGTTGGGTCATTTTTCTTTTTCTTTTGCCTTTTTTTTTTTTTTTTTTTTTTTTTTT